GTGTTTTTGAAGATAGAATGCTGAAATTTAATACAGATTCTATTTTTGGTCAGTTGATCCAACCTACCAAATTTCATAAGGATCGGCCGACTATATCCTATAGCTGCCATATAACTGAAAGATCGGAATTGACCCAACTTTTGTGTTTTTGAAGATAGAAAGCTGGAACTTGGTACAGATTCTATTTTTGGTCAGTTCATCCAACCTACCAAATTTCATAAGGATCGGCCAACTAAATCCGATGGTTGCGATATTTATCCGGTTTTAACTTCGGGCTTCGCCCGAAGTTAGCTTTCCTTTCTTGTTTCCTTTAATTTAAAAAATATTTTTTCTCAAATTTTGTCTTTTTTCTTATCTAACATTTTTTCCTACCTATTATTTGTACAGCTATACGGGCCATACTTTCAAATTGGGAAAAAGAGGTTCCGCTCAATTTTTCAAAAAATATTATAGTATAAAAAAAATATGCATCGCAGTGCAATCAAAAAAATTATGCAACGCCGTGCATGGGTAAAAAAAAAGTTTCTCCTCAGTTGATTTCCTTTTTTTTTCCACGTCAGCTGGTCGTCGCCGGTTTGGTTACGCTGACGTTCCCTCGGTGGCGCAGGAGGTGGCGTATTCCCGCACTCTATTTGCTGCTGCTGCTGTCCGGGGCCTTTTGGACTCAGGCGTTACCGGTGCCGGTCCTCGCACAGGTTTGGTTGCAGTGGGGGCTGTCCAGTGGTCCAGGGCAATCCTTCGGGCACGTCTTTTTTAGTTTTGGTAATGGCTTTGGTGGTGGAGGTTTTGTTATTATTTTTTCATTAATTTTCTTTATCGATACTGAGTGAGTGGCGGCAATTTTTGGGCTTTTATTCTTGTTACTCATAAATTTTTCATTCAGAAAATCTAGTTCTGATTGAAGTTTTTGGGCTGTAGCCCACGCGGGAGGTGGAGTGTTTACGTAGAGTAGCCACTTTAGGTGTGCTACTCTTTTTTTTATTTTTTTCGCGACTCCTCCGCGATTGCCCATTGCTTCACTCTACTCACTCAGATTTTTTGTAGATTTGTAGGTAGTAGATATTTTTATAGTTTTTGTGTTTTTTGTAGATATTATTCATTTTTGATTTTCCAATTATTTTCCAGTTTATCCCGTTTATCCGGCTTTTTTGCTTATGCGCATCCTCCTGGGTCTATCCTTTTTAGTCCTTCGATGTCCTTCGATGTTCCATCGCTGTCACGGTCGCCATGTGATGAACGATGAAAGGATACCACCAAGAGTTGAGTTTGGTTGGTCTTTATTTGGAAGGAGCAGCTGAGGTGCCGCTCCAACGTTCAAAATGTCTCTGTTCTTTTACAATATTTCTTAAGTCTAAGTAAGGCTAAGTCTCGTAGCAGCGCTGCTCGCAGGCGGCGGCAGAGAGACGGCTATGTACTTATATATAAAGGAATATAATAATATATGTTGTTATGCGCTCTCAAGTGGCGGCGCGACGGGGAATGCATATGCTGACCGTTTGTTACGATTATGCTGACACTAGCACTTTCTGTGTGCGGGCTAAGGCATAACGATCGGTTCATATTTCGGCCACTTAGGGTTTATGACCGGGACTTTGGATTATGTAAACACTGCAACAAAGTGTTACAGTGCGCACCCTTTAAGTACTCTCGGTACAGTGGTTATTCAATATATGTGCATACTACAGGAAGGAATCATTCATAATTCCCCTACATAAAAAAGGAAAAAAGTCCGATGCTGCAACTACAGAGGCATCTCTAAGTTGTCGGCAATTCCAAAGTTATGTGAAAAATTAATTACCCTTCACTTGCAACACCTATGCTCTTTGATCATCTCTCCCTGTCAGCATGGCCTTATTAAGCGTCGCTCCACCACCACAAATTTACTGGAGTTGACATCCTTTGTCATAGATGGCTTTTGTAAGGGATATCAAACCGATGTAATTTACACAGACTTCAGCAAAGCATTTGATTGAGTTAATACCTCACTCTTGTTGAGTAAACTGAATATGCTGGGTTTTCCTATAGACCTCTTAACGTGGATCTCCAGCTATTTAGATGGAAGGACACAAAGAGTCTTATTTAAAAACATACAGTCCCGTCTGGTCCGTGCTACCTCCGGCGTCCCTCAAGGAAGTCATCTTGGCCCGTTATTATTTACGCTTTTTATTAACGACTTGCCCCCTGCTTTAACGAACTCTCTAGTTCTTATGTACGCAGATGATGTTAAGCTTTGTCTTCAGTACAAATCCATCTCTGCCCAATGCAGTCTTCAGTCTGACCTTGATAACTTTAAAAAATGGTGTTTAGCTAATGATCTAAAACTTAATGGATCAAAATGCAAGCGTATGTCTTTTTATCGTTCTTGCCCTCTGCAAGCTACGTATTCTATTAATGGGATTGCCTTAGAAAAATTAACTCAGGGTAATGATCTCCTATTAGACATTAAACTTAAGTTTTCCGACCATATTTCCTTAATGGTTAATAAGGCTTTATTAAAAGGTGGTCGAAAGAATTAAATGACCCATACATAACCAAAACATTATTTATTTCTTTGGTCCGTCCGATACTGGAGTACGGTTCATTTGTCTGAACTTTAGTTTTTTTAATTTTTTAACATTTAGAGGGTTATACTGGTATGCAAATCTTTAGCTTCCATCGTACAGTAGCAGACTTTTACTTATAAACTTACCTAGCTGAACAAATCGTAGGACAATGCTCTTTGTAGTCTTTCTGCATAACCTTATTAACGGGGATGTAGATAGCCAGCATTTACTAACACGCTTAAAATTTAACATTCCTTATAGATGGACTCGAAACTTTAGTCCTCTGTTCGTTAGCCGTTGTAGTTCGACATATGCACTGCACGACCCTTTTAGGGTATTATGTTCGAACTACAATGGTCTCTATTCTATTACATCTCTTTCCTGTCCCTCTAATTTAAAATATAGAATTTCAAATTTCCTTACTAACTCCTCTTAGCTTAACAAATTTCAATTAGCTTAATATGTACTAACAAATCGTTTCTCGAGCGCCTCTCGGTCGTCTGGGCCTCTAAGCTTTATGATGAATACAGGAATGCTAGCTGATGCTCTTATTGATGCACAAGCCATTTCCAAATTCTGAAAGACCGCGAAAACAAACAAAAATATTGATGAAAAAAAAAGAAATTTGGTAAATGTTATGGACTTTTCAATTACAATTATTAATAAAATTAGAGGTGGTCACAATTCATTAACACACAGGTTATTTGAGGATTATTTAAAAAGTGTTGACGCGAAATATTCTGATATTTTATTGCACACTGAACTACGATGGCTCAGCCGAGGTCGTAGTTTTGAGTGCCTTTTCAATTTGCGAAAAAAAATTATACATACATTTTTTTCAATTAAACCCAAAAAATTACCAATGGACTTCACACTCACTTGGAAAATCCTTATTTCATACAAGACTTAGCTTTCCTCTGTGATTTAACCGAAATTCTTAATAAACTAAAGCTAACTCTGCAAGGGAAAAAAAAAAACATTTTTTTTTACCTCATATCATCCAAAATTTTAGTAGGAAGTTGGTAATATTAATTAGTGAACTGGAATAAGGTTGTTTTCTAGTCATAAAAAAACATTAGAGGCATTTTTAAATTTACAAATAGAACCTTAATTAAAATCTCCTAAGTATACAGAATAAGTTAAGGGAATTTATAGCAGTTTTTTGAAGAGACTTAATGATTTAAAATTAATCCAAAGTTTTTTTGTCAAAGTTACACGACAACCCATTTACATGCAATATAGATCAATTCAACATTTCTTTTCAAGCAGAGTTTAATAAAATGCGCAACGATTTTAATGTTCTATTGGACAGTGGTGAAACGTTTTGGAAGGACATATATTTAAAAAAGTACCCACTTTTAAGAGACGAAATTTTGAGACTTTACTTAATGTTTGGTACCACCTACAATTGCGAGGTGGCATTTTCAAGCCTAAAACTCATTCAAAGTCGGCAAAGAAATAAAATATCTGATGTTCATATTGCTGACCTTTTGCGTATAAAGGAGTTTTCTGAACATATTAATATTGACAAAAAATAATAGAATAATTTTAAATTTATTTTTTTTTTATATATGATCTCAGAGAGCTCTCTAAGAGCACTGAGAGAAAAAACTTTGTTGGTTTATTTTGTTTATCAAATATTTTGTAAAAATTTTTCTTTTTTCTTAAAACTGAGATACAAGTTTTTCTCTCTTTGTTTCAGCTCGTTACAGAAAAAGGCTAGATTGATTATAAAAAAAGGATAGAAAAGGACAAAAATTAAAAAAAAAAGGACAAAAACCAAGACAAAATATTTTTTCCATAAATTTTTTGTAATATCACTCTTTATTGGTGGCCAAATCGATTAGAACATCGTCAATGTCATCATTGCAAGCTTCTAATCTTTGATTTTCTGTAGATTGGTTGCTTCCAATCATTTTTGAATCTTGCTTAGGAATTTCTTATTCATGGCAACATACGCCTTTCATACAGCCTTTCATACGCCTTACATACGGCGTAGCCCAAACCTAAAAAAAAAAAAAACAATTTAAATAAATTTGTGAAACAACAGAGTATTAAAATATTTACCTGATCGATAAAATCGCATTTAAAGTTTCTATTTGCAGTCGGTTGCGCAAAAAAGAAACCTAAAAGAAACCGGCGTAGCCCAAACCTAAAAAAGAAAAAAACAATTTAAATAAATTTGTGAAACAAAAGAGTATTAAAATATTTATCTGATCGATAAAATCGCATTTAAAGTTTCTATTTGCAGTCGGTTGCGCAATTTGGTTTTAACCAAATTAGCTTGGCTAATAACACGCTGAACTTCTGCATTTGCACGACATATCCACTGCACCAGATCCGGTTGATTTAGCCATGAATAACGAAACTTTTGCTTGTACATTTTTTTGGCATCTTTCCCGCACAAATTTCACAATAAAAGTAAACATTTTTTTTTATTTTATTTTTTTTTCCTTGTTACTCCTCTTGGGAGCTTAGGGCCTCTACAAGGGCTTCGTCGACTACCAAGTTGAACAGAAGTGGTGATAGAGGACATCCTTGCTTGACGCCTGTGTTCGTCTGGAAGTGTCCACTAATTTTCCCGTTGTGCAGTACCGCCAGCTCAGCATCATCATACATAGCTTTCACTATGTTTATGATTTTCACTGGCACTCCCTTACTTGCAAGTGCCCTCCATATCGCTGCTCTGTCTACCGAATCGAATGCCTTCTGGAAATCTATGAGCAGGAGGTACAGCGGCGAGCGCCATTCCACAGTTTGTTCGGTTATTGCGCGTAGTGTGTTTGCCTGGTCTACGCAGCTCCTATGTGGTCTGAAACCTCCTTGTTCATCTCGTATTGTTGGCTCTATTTTTTCCTGAAGACGTTCGTTTAGTAGAGTGGCTAGTACCTTGTAACTTGTGTTCAACAGGGTAATGCCTCGCCAGTTGTTGCAGTCACTAAGGTCTCCTTTCTTCCAGGATGTTGGGATCCGCTCACTTTCCCATATATTATTGAAATGTGGATGTAGTGTTTCGGCCATTAGTTGCGTGTTAATCTGGAGAAGTTCGGCCGGTATTCCGTCATCTCCAGCCGCTTTGTTGCGTTTTAATTTCCTGATTGCATCCTTTATTTCTCTAATTGATGGTGCCGTGGGTGATACTCTGGGGTTATTGCTCGGTACAATACTCCTGAAGTTATCTTGCGTGCTGCTCGGTTGTTCTGTGCAGCTGATCTCCATAAAGTGCTGTCGCCATCTCTGGAGTTGTGCCTCATCATCAATAAGGAGTCTTCCATCTGTGTCCCGCACTGGTTGGGTTCGTCTATGGCAGCTTCCGGTCAGTTGACAGCGAGCCTGTCCAGAAATTTCCTTTTGTCGTTTCGTGCTGATTTCTTCACCATCTTGCACAGCTCTTTGTGTTCGTCGCGAGCTCTGCAGTCATGATCTGCTTTCGACTTTAGGCTGTTCCGTTTGCTGATAAGTTCCCAAGTGTGCGCTGATATCCAATCCGTGCGCCTGCGTTGTCGGGTGCCAAGCATCTCCTCCGCGGCGCTCCTCAGTATACTGCATGTTTGTTCCCATGAGTGATTCAACGGTTGTGTTGTCATCTGTTCACGCAACGTTGTGGCCATTCTGGTGGATAGGTTGGAGTCACTCAGCCGTTGTACGTTAATGGGAGGCGGTCTTCTTGTGGTCCTGTTGACAGTGTTGCTATTTCGTCTGAGCTTGATTAAAAGCTCTCCGATTATCAGCTCGTGGTCACTGTCGATAGACGCGCTTCTCCTATTCCTAACATCCATCATGGAGCGTCTCCATTTCCTACTTATGCAGATGTGGTCGATTTGGTTGCGAGTATGTCCATTCGGAGAGGTCCATGTGTATTTATGGATTTCCTTGTGGGGGAATACAGTGCCGCAAATAACCAGTTGGAAGGTCTGACATAAGTCGATTAGCCTGTCACCATTATTGCTACGTGTGCCAACACCATGTCGGCCCATGATTGTTTCCAATCCGTTGTTGTTGGGGCCGATTTTCGCATTGAAGTCTCCCATGAGAATTTTTATGTCACCTCTTTCGATCCTAGTAAGTGAGGATGTGAGGGCGTTGTAGAAGTCGTCTTTGATGTCATCGCTGGCGTCTTCTGTTGGGGCATAGCACTGCACTATGGTGATGTGTCTAGCATTGCATCGGAATCTGGCAACGATTGCGATCTGCTTTTTCTCCATTTCTCCTTCAAACTGCGCCAGTCTGGTTAGTTCCATTAAAGTCCTCACGTTCCATTGTCCAAATCGTGTCCGTTTCGATATGCGAATGGTCGTCAACGGGTGGGGGGGGTAGTTGGTTTTTTCTCTTCTTGTATTAGTTTCGTTAATCAGTTGTTATTCGGTTGATCCGGTGATTAGCCAGTTGCAACCTATCCCAGAGGTGGGGCTGCCACCTGTCGATATTTGGGAATACCGTTTTTCGACCTCACATGTTTAGTAGCATCGGAAAAGAGACCACTAAGCATAATGAAGCCGAAAAACTTTGGAGGTCATGATTGCCATGAGTGGGGTTCGAACCCACGACCCAACGCTTAGCGTGCAGCTACACGAAGAAACAACGGAACCATCGAGCAAGTGAACAGATTAACATTTGAAATACGCTCAGCCTTCGAACAGCGAGAATACTGCAGCGATATTTTCCTCGACGTATCTCAAGCTTTCTACCGAGTTTGACTCATCGGACGCATGCACAAAATTAAAAACGTTTTTGCCGACAAACACCCACAAGCTACTGGAATCATACCTCTACAATAGGGTATTCTCAGTGAGATGCAACGCAGCTACTTCGGGCGATTACTTCATCAAAGCTGGAGTTCCACAAGGAAGCGCACTCTGCTCTTATCGCTCTTTAGTCGCTCCAGATGCCCAACCCAAGCAACAAACAAACTCGTTAATCATCTAATAGTAGTGGAAAGGTGGCTGTCCGCCTGGCCCATTAAAATGAACGAACAAAAGTGTAAATATGTAATGTTTACTCTTAATAGACAAACATACCTTCCGCTTTCACTAAACGGTATACAAATCCCTCAAGCTAACGAAGTAAAGTACCTTGGCGTCCACATTGATAGACAATTAACGAAGTAAAGTACCTTGGCGTCCACAATTAACCTATCGAATTAGCACATCGAATTCAAGAAGATGCACCTAAACCAAAAAGCCAGCAGCCTCCACTAGATCATAAACTCACAATCGCCACTGTGCCTGGACTACAAGTTACTACTCTCCAATTCAGTCGTAAAGCCAATCTGGACGTATGGCTCCCAGCTGTGGGGAAATGCAAGCAGCAGGAACATAGACATCACAGCGCGCACAATCGAAAATCTTGAGAACTATCACTGGGGCACCTTGGTATGTTCGCAACGAAATAACCCGGAATCTGGGCATGTAGAATGTTGCTTATAATAGAATTTATACGTATGACCTGGTATACCTTCATTAGGAAATTATGAAAATTGGTGAAGTTATAACGATTTTCCCAAAACAAGTCAGTCCAATCTTGCTAGCGTTCCGGAGTAATGGTTTGCCGTTCCATTTCCATTATTCTTTTCTTTTACACACATTAACTTAACTGGGGCGCGTGCGGATGCACTCGATATCGCCAGGAAAGTCTTGGGCGGCACAATTCGAATGTGGAAAGAAAACTTCAGGAACAAAAAAACCCAAAAAGAGTCGAGGTTGGTGGAGGTTGTAGGCGGTTGTTGCCTGATGCGGAGTAGAAGCAGCGTTAGAGGCACGGAAAATGGACAAGTATCGGAAAATTCGTGCTCGTTCGAAAACAAATTGATGACGAACTGTATATGTATATTTATACAAGTGTGGTTCGTGCGTGGATATTGAATTCTTAACTATTTTCGCACTTTCGGAGCCCGAAAGGTGGACTTGAACTTGGCTTGTATTTAACACAAAAAAATAAATAATTAATAATAATTATTTTTTGACTAATTGTCGGATTTTATTATTATGGAGCCAGAAGGGTGGAGTTGAAAATCTAATTTTTTATCAATTGGGGTTAATTATCACGAAGCCAAAAAGGTGTAATTGAAACCGCGGCTGTTTTCAGACAGAAGGTTGATAATTAAATTATTAATAATTTTTGACTTTAAGTATTGAGTGGCCGGGAAGGTGAATTAAAAAAAAAAACTGGCCCTTCGCTCGAACGGAAAATAATAATTAAATAAATTGTGGCAGATATAATTATAAATATATAAATTTATAATTAATAGATTTCCTTTTTTTTTAAGTTAGTTGTTACGCAGCCGGTTATGCCCTGTACGTACCCCAAAGGAAAAAAAACAGCAACAGCAAAAACAAAAAAACACAACACTGCTACTACGGCGGCTAGCTTGAGAATTTAAGCGACACAATCACGGATTAGTAGTGAAATGGCGGTTTATAATTGTTGGTTTTGGAAAATTTAAGAAATGTTTTAAACTTTATCGGTTATATATTTCCTGAAATTCGAGGCAGAAAATATTTGGAAATATATGGACATGCATGCAGGTACGGATATATGTAAGGGCATGTGGGGCATATGCTGGCACAGTGGAGCGTTGATAAGTGGACTGTATAACTTGTGGAACAGTAAAGTTATGTGGTGTAAAAAATTGGGGAAGAAAAAAAAACAAATATTAAATTCCGGAACTAATTCACACCGGCTGGCCAATAATAATTTTGTCACCACACAACTTCACTGTTCACTTGCGGATTTTTTTTCCTCTTTGCAGATTAATTGCACCGAAAAAAAAAAAATATGTATGTGTGTATATATGTATATGGATGCCCATATGCCTCGACCGTTGGCAACCGGATGGATAACGGAGAGGCCAAAAACGGCGAGGAATATGGCGAAGCACGGAGGAGCGGAGTATGCTTGGGGTCTACCATAATTTGCCGATACATCTTCTCGATGTCGGCGTTGAAGACAAACCTAAAGTATCGCCACTTTAGGATTTGAATCGTAAGGTCGGATTGTAAGACCGGGCCCACGTATAGAATGTCGTTCAGACTGGTTCCGTTTGCGGACGGGCTCGAAGCATTGAAGACCACTCGCACCTTTGTGGTCGTGCTTTTGGGCTTGAAGACGGCATGATGTGGAAGATATTAGGTAGCGGAATTGCTCGCGGGAGAGACCTCGGTCATGTGGCCTAAGTCGATGTATTCCTGGATTACCGAGTCATAGCGGGCCTTAAGGGGCGGATCCCTCTTCAGGCGCTGCTCATTACGCAGGAACTGAGCAAGGGCAAAGGACCGTGAAGCCGCTAGCTCGGAACCCTTCTGCTCGGGGTCGCGTAAGGGAAGCGTCACAACGTACTTGCCACACTCGTCTCTTCTCGTCGTCTGGACAAAATTGTGCTCGCAAACTGAATCCGATTCCGAACTGATCTGTGTGGGCACATCTTCCACCTCCCAGAATTTGGTGAGGAGCCGCTCCAGCGAGTCCAAAAATGGTCTCCTGACCGAGAAGAGACCCGCAGATGTTAGCCTTGGAATTACCGAGGAGAATGGACGGAAGAATGTCAGCTCCTATTAACACATTGACTTGGGAGCTCTCAACGAAGTTGGGGTCCGCCAGGGGAACGTCGGGCAGCCCCTTGAGACGATCTCGCGGAATCGGAGATGATGGAAGATTTCTTGCCAACTGCGGAAGAACGTAAGCCGCAGTCTCTAATTGTAGACCGGGTCTAGACCGAACGAAGAAATGGCACAATTTAGTAGACTGCGCGGAAATGGTCTGATTAAGGCCGGAAGCTTGGGCGTGAATCGTCTTGAATGAAGAATCAGAAGAATGTGAAATATTTTTATATGATAGGGAAGGAGGAAAAAGATTTGATTTACGAAAGTTTGACTGGTGGCACATCGATCCTGACTTAAAAAACTTTTTGTAAGCTCTGGATTTCCTGTTCTTAAGAGGAGAAAGGTGTTTATTATACCAAGGTGGTTTTGTAGACAATGATACTGGGACTTCCGGAACAAATTTATTCAAGGCATTATGAACTATTTCGTAAAACCAATCCGTAGCTGCTTCAATTGTGTTTATAGATGAAAGAACATTCCAATCAAGTTTCAGTAAGCACGATAGCATCAAAATCAAAAGAAGCACTCTTTGTAAAAAATTGGCTCAGCTTACCCAGAATACTTCTAACATTTTGATAGCAGCAGGAAAATACTATGTTATTCAGTTTTTTGAAGCAGTTTCTGCAGGGCTAGGATTCGGAGTGTCTTTTGCTAGGAATTCATGAATGATACTGTGCTCAGGCCAAGCTACAGGATCAAGTGCTTTTTCAAGGTACGAATCAGGTAGAACTATTTTAAAAGAAGAAATAGAACGCTTATGCTTAAAGTTAAACTTCTTATGCTTAAAAGTTAAAGTTAAACTCCAAGATGAGAGGTGGCTCGAGATTTGTACTTGGTACGCTGATCGCTTCTTGCAAGGGATAAATATTAGAGTGCCCTGAAGGAAGGCTCATCAAGTCCCTTGGTACTGGAACAGCATAAGTAGGTAGACAAGTAGGCGACGGTAAAATGTTTGGTGTTGAAAATTCATCGACTTGTACAGCATGGGATGTAGGGGTATTCAGTAATTTAGCAGTCAGCAGGTTGTTGTTCGGAATTTTTCGTCTGGGGGATTCGCTTAACAACTTTAGCCCAAGGAATTGAGTTTCAAGAGCGTGGAATTGCTCATTAAGGGCCGAGAATCGCTTGCGGACATCTAGAAAACCATTTCTCGTCTGTTTCATAAAAGTCCGCATCTCTGACTCAATTTCTCTACAAGCGATGCAAGACCATGTCAAGCCAATTTTCTTGTTGATAAGGTCACTTATCCGTCCATTGTGTCCTCCTCCAGCACATTTAATATGTGAGCAGTTATTGCAGAGCCAACAAGACAGGTATGAGTCCCCCGTGATGGTTCCACCAAATTCACATTTTTTTGCTGTGCAAGTAAGACTCATTTTTGACTTCTTTTTTGACGGAATGCAGACCACTGTAATAGCGTGTAAAGAATTTAGGCTCTCTGAAGCACTCTGTAACCGAGAGTGGACGATCAGATCGGATGTAAGAGATGACGTTACAAAAGAGATGTGCAACGAAGGTTCGGCGTCGTGAAGAACAACAAACTCCACAATAACTATAATGTAACGGGTTACGTCCGGAGAGTACAGCTCGGAGAGACTTATGTTGGA